ATCATGGAGATACTTCCTAAGTGTTTTTAAATATAATTTTGGTAAGGAGTAACTTAAAAACAACAACATAAACATTAATGGAGATAACAAAATAATTATATGGAGAAACAGAATTACTAGTTTGCTTAGTTGTACCACTCTCTGCACTTTACTCATTCCCCGGCATATATTACTACCACATGAGTCCCAGCCAGCACTTTCAAATTATCTAGGCCCACATTGGTAACTTATTTTGCACAATGGAATAATGTTGGAATCAGTTTGTTTTAATGTATAGGATTGTGTTAATGGTTATGTCTATATTTTTAAATGTCTACTTTGTATGTTTCGTGTTTGCTTTGTGAAAACTGCCCTGAGTCCCCTAGGGGAGATAGAGTGGTGTATAAATAAAGGTGGATATTATTATTATTATTATTATTATTATTATTATTATTATTATTATTATTATTCTGGCTATTACAATTTATCCTTGAATTGTTTCTGAGTAAAATTAGGTATTTCAGTTTCATATTAAAGTTGCAAAACAAAATTTGGGTATTTAATTACTTCAGAGCCACCAATAGTGTATGCAGTGGCATTCATTCCTTTTCTGAGAAACATTTCACAGTCAGCATAATTTTTGTCTTAAAAGATCTATAATTGTTTTGAAGTTCTTCTGTTTGTAATGATTTATATCTTGTGAGTGAAGATTGATACTGTAATTTTTATTTATTTATTTAAATAGAAGTGAAGCAAACATTTCATGTTTAACATGGAGGTAGAAGTCAGAAGACTCCGTATGGCCTAGTATTGTTTGCCAATATGTCAGGCTTTGAAAGTTTTTTGTGAATCAGCCCTGTTCCAGAGCTTTAATTTAGGGAAGATGGTTAGAAATTGTGGGAGTTCGGGCTAACTCTAGATTTGAACAATACACAGCTTAGCTGGTACTTCAGGTCTTCCATTCACCCTCTCATTCCATATGTGTATATTCAGCAGCTGATGGGGTCAGTCTGCATGCATGACATGGAAACTGACACAATTTGAATTTTTCTGTAGAACAGTTAGAAATAGATAAAAGAGTTAAATCTAAATCATAGCCTACATTAGTGAAAGGATGTATGTAGGAAGGAAACCTTTTTTTCATCAGAGCAAACAAATAAGATATGATCTCCATTTTGACCTTAGCCAATGATTATTGAAATATTGGCATGCATTTGAGAGGAGACATAACTGGAATATAAGATGCATTTATCATGTCAGTATTATATAATTACAGCCAGATTTTGCCTTAGATAACCTACTTTATGCTATTTGGTGTGTGTGTGTTTATGAGAGAGAGAGAAATCCAACTCCTTTGCTTGGTTTATCTTGTGGAAATAGTTTATCTTCACATGTGCCTGTTCTTGAAACAAGATCTTCAGTAGAGACCCCAGTGGATGCTTAAACCATCTGTGTTGGGGAAGGAACCTTCTCTACACTAAGGTCCTCATTGTGAAAAGATTTTGCCAGGAAGGATGAACTGGTTTGAAAGTGTTTCAAGACTGAAATGAAGGCCTTATTTTCCAAATGTGTAAAGCCAACCTGATGTATCTTTGTTGTTGGTTTTTATGCTACTTCGCATGGTATATAGGTCCATAGAATTTAGTAGACTGCAGAATATTTTACTACTCTATAAGGAACCAGGCAAGTCATAGGTCTGTTCCTTCTCCTACATTCCAATGTGATGCAGGGGAGGGTACATCTCTTTCTCCTCCACCTGTGGAATTCTTGGTTTTTCCTTGTTGACAGTCCTTAACAACAGTTTGCGCTAGGCAAGTGACTAAACATATATCCATATTTTTTATATCTCTCCTGATTTTAGGCTTCATTTTTAAGTGATATTTCTAACTGAAGAGTGGGCAATAAGTAGTATTCAGGTCTCCTTGCCACCACCATGGAGCTTGATTGTCAAGAGAATCATAGCATTACAAAACCCTTATGTTCCACGTCTTGCTTCAGAAAAGGAAAGTTAGCAGCTATATGTGGTGCAGTAATGTATCCTGAGTGCTTTGGGCAGATGCCTGAATGTTTCTAGAGTCTGCTGAATTGTGTTACAGTGCTAAACACATCACACAAGGATGTTATCCTTACTGTTTTGGACATTTTGATCTCACCCTCCCCTTCCACATCTTATTTGTTTACCTTCTCAAGGCATGAAGAAAATATATGTAAGGCACGAAAAAAGAGAAGTCAACCAACTTTGGGGAGGAAAGTTTTTTATTGGAGCAGGTATAAATTGTTGGCTGTGGATTTATATTAATGTATTTATTTGATCAAATATATGTGTCACTTTTCTGCACTGCAGTCAGGATAATTTACACAGTAATCTAAAACAACTTGGTTAATAAAATAGAAAATGATTGTATGCCTATATGCCTTCAAGTAACACAACCTCAAGAATTTCATAGTGTTTTCTTAGCCATGTAAATTTATTCTTCCTGCTTGGTTGGGGAATCCCATAACTCAGCAGTAGAGCACATTTTTGTATGAAAGGGTTCAAGGCATCTCCAGTTAGGGCCGTATTGTTATTGTGTGTTTTCAAATAATTTCTGGCCTATGATGACTCAAGGGGCCAACTTTTTCCTGGGGATTTCTTGGCAGACTTTGTTCAGGGGGGAATTTGCCAGTGCCTTCCTCAGGATTATTTGCCCAAGGTTGTCATATCTGAAATACTAGAGGGACCTGTCAGTGGATACAATACTGAACTAGATGGACCAATGGTCTGACAGGCAGGCCAATTTGTTCCTATGTTCCCCTGGCCAGCATACTAAATAGGTACATGGCCCACTCCAGTAAGTCATCACTTCGTACATGTTTGAATCCACCTCCTGTTCTTTGTTGTGCAAAAAAGTACTGTGCATTCTATACAAGCATGCCTGCAGCTTTTTAATGACAGAAAGCTTTGCTTGTAGAGAACCATAATATGCTCAGATGGCATTGCAGATTAGTGTGGGATGGGGAGCTGTTTTAAAGTGTAATTGTGAAATGTAACTTTTTTCTTTTGCTGTTCTAACCAACCGTACTGTAGTATTATTCCACTGGAAACATTGCTGCCACAAATAGCAGGTTTAGCCAAGGGGGAGATGAATCATAGTGAAAGCTTTGCTAAAAAGAAAAAATAAGCTAATGTCTCAAGAAAAGAAAAATGCATCTCTCAAATTAGATAAATCAACCCTGCGAAGTGTTCTGAATATGCCATTTAGAATCAGAAGTACAAAGCACAACTGGAGTGCCTAGCTTTTTGCTCTCTGTAGAGCTAACAAGGGCTTGACTGCCTAGGAATAATGTTGCTCATGGAGTTAACATGCTCCTTTTGTGCAGGTGCTGATGGTTGTGCTTAGGCCAGTAGGCTCCCTTCCATTTGTCATCTCTCCTCCTCCGTGCATAGTTGTGGAAACTCAGGCTCTCTCATCCCAACTGTGCAGCTTTTAGCACACTTGAATATGTTCAAACTTTTTCCTGTGGAAGGAACCTCACCCATCAACACATTGATAGGGACGCAATCCCACAGACTTTAAACAGCAGCGTGACACAATGTCATTCATAAAAGATACAGTAGGGTTGATTTTGGTGCAATGAATAACTTTAAAACTCTATAGAAATGTCCTCTGTTGGTTTTAAAACTGGTGCTGATTCTCGCAGACCAGAAAAAAATACACTGAGAACCATTTGAGATAAAAGATCAGCTGTAATTGCTAAGGCACGAGAGCTTGGTAATCTAGGCTGTTTGTTTATTTATTTTTCATGTCACCTATCTTCCAACTTCTTACAAAAAAAATTAAAAATTCAGCTGAAATATAATTTTTCTTATTGAAAAGCACCCAAATTATTTTGTTTACAATATGTATGGCTATAAGCAGTGTGTTGTTACTGCTGTGTGTTCTCATCGGAGTTTTGTTTTTCAATAAGATTCATGCCACAACGGCTGCTTTAAATAAGGTCCCACCAGTTGGAGCAGTTGTTGATGCTGTGTTTGTTCAAATTGTTTCTGACTTATGACAACCCTAAGATGACCCCATCCAAGGATTTTTTGGCAAGGTTTGTACAATGAGGTGGTGGTTGCATCTGAAACTGAGAGTGTGACCTGCCCAAAGTTACCCAGTGGGTTTCCATGGCCGTGTTTGAATGGTGGTCATAATCCAGCACACAAATATTACATCACACTGACTTTCTAGTTCCACATATCCCAACATAGTTCTACTTTGTGCTTCTCAATATGCCAGTCCTTAACATCAAGCTCCATATCAGGTTTCTTACTCAGTTTACAGTGGCATTTATCTGCATGTTTTTCTTATTTGTGGGGATTTTCTTCACAAAATTATATATCTGCCTTGACAGCTATCACATCCTAAGCAAAGGATGCTACCATAGAATATGATGCAAATGTATACTTCTGATTTTGAAATGTAAACTCACTTGCACATCTGTTTAATATACAGAAAAACATGTTAGTTGGCTAAACAAACCAGTAACAATAGCTGTAAACTTCTTTAAGTTCTATTTGGAACACTTTAAAAGAACAGGTTGGAATTAGGAAACCATCAAATTGTTGTTCTTGAAGCACCTCCCAGATGTGATAAGTAGTTAATGAGAAATATATGACAAAGAAGGAGCAACTTAGAAGAAACCTGGACAAAATCTAGAGATCACGGGAATATTTAAAAGGTCAACCTGAGTGTTCTGCAAACATCTGTACTATTAATTTTTCAATGTTGAGAATCATATGCTAACTTATAAAACTGGTTTGATTAATTGTACATTAGTATGGAAGCTTTCTTAAAATAAAAAGTGCAGCTTTCACAGGGAACTTTATTAGAGGTAATAATTGTGTTGAATCCATGTGCAGAATAAGTTTTTTTTCTAGAAGTGTGATAATTAAGCGTCTTTTTACAGTATTATCTCCATTTCATACTCTTGCTGGCTTGTAATTTATAGGGTTACTCATGAGTGTTGTGCTTTTTTGGCATTCATATATTTTTCAGAAAAAGGAGAATTCGAGCATTTGTTTTGAGGAAAAAAGGAAAATTAAAGAATTACATGGACTTTGCAAACAGATGTTAGAAAATGAAAGGTAGGTCAAATGTTGTGCCTACAACGTTGTGGACCTGTGGACAAATGCATTGAGAAATTATTTTATAAGATTGGGTTTTGTTGAGCAATAGCAGGATGTTAACACTGGAGGAACATGATGTGAGATATGGTTGGCATGGATATATGTGGTATGATAGAGTGAAAGTGAGTGTGGATTTCAAAAACCATTGTGGTAGACACGGTTTAACACAAATATGGGAAAGATATAATTCAATTTTATGCCGAAGATCCCAGGGTGGGTATCTGCGCAAGAAGCATTTTGTAGAAAAGAGACACAAGGTAAGAAGAAATGGTTAACATATCAAGATCTCAGAGAAAATGTACACGGAGAATATAGAATTAAAATGAGAACAATTAATTGCAGAGGGTTTTGATGTCCAGTGGTTTTTTTTTTTTAAATTTACAGTTAATGGAAAGATTCAGACAAGAGAAGCAGTCAATTGGTTTTGAAATAAGCAAATTGGAATTTGAGTTACATGTGCAATGTATAAAATGTTATTGAAATTGAAATGGCAGATAAGCAAGTTAAAGTGGGCACAAAATATTGGGCACAATATAATGTTGGAACAATGGGAGAAAATGTGTAATAAAAGGTTACAATTCACATTATGCTATAGCTTGAAAGAGAATTTCTATAAAATGATGTATTGGTGGTATATAACACCTGAGATATATAAAAAGAGCTCCAATATTTGCTGGAAACAACAGGTGGAGTTCTTCTATCATATGTGGTGGACATGTAAACATGCCAAGAAATGCTGATTCAAATACACACAGTGATCCAGAAAAATTTAGGGGGAAACATCCAGCTAAAACCTGAGATTTTTTAATTCACTTTTTTGCATGAAGAAGAGAATAACTTGTCAATTCTGAGTTTTGAAGAATAAATTAAAGATTTTTGTTGTAATATGAGAAAAGAACTAGCATAGAGAGATCTAGAGGAGTGGTTCTCAATCTGTGGAACTCCAGATGTTTTGGCCCTCAACTCCCAGAAATCCTAACAGCTGGTAAACAGATTTCTGGGACTTGTAGGCCAAAACATCTGGGACCCCACAGGTTGAGAACCACTGGTCTAGAGGGTGAAGCGTATGATACTAACTTTCTTTGTGACAAAATTGGGATAACCAGAGGTCATCTATCTCCCCCTCCCCCCTTTTTAAGAGAAGGATGTATAAAAAGAGAAAGTGCAGTAATGTTACATGGAAATGAAGTGTGCATAAGTATGAGCACCAATGGAAACTAAGTGCTAGCAAGATATTGTAGTGTTGAAGGCAATAAAAAAGAAAAACAAAACAAAAAAGAAAAATTCTTTTATAGTGCTCTATTGAAATATACTGTGCAAGTTATTTTTGATTCTAATTTTAAACTGTGTGACCAAATGCATTGAGGCTAATAAGTGATTTAGTTAAACTTAAGCAATATCCACACCGTTATTGGCACTTTAGTGTCACTATGTTTTTCTGGATAGTATAAAAGATTTGAAATATATGATGGATGCATTTTTACCTGTATTTTATGCATTAGGCTGGTGCCTAAAGCACATCCATATTTCTTAAAAGACGTCTTGAGTAGTTCTTACAACAATTGCTTAAGCAGAAACAGTGCCAAAGCAATGCTGTTGTCATTTCAAGGTGTGATGGAGATTTTGTTTATGAATTGGAACTTTTCATTCGAAAAATTAATGATTTAACTCTTCAGCAGTAGTTTACCAAAAAATAAGGCCATTGTTCACACCCCAAACTGAGGATTTGGAATGTAATTGCAGAGAATGAGAGTGGAGCATGTCCTGTCTTGTACTCCAAGCTTTCACTAAATGAGGAAATAAACTGAATTGATTTAACGTTTTTAACAGTTGAATCAGTTGTTTCTTTTTCTTGATATTGGCAGTCACTTTAGAAGGGAATGGAATATTTTATATACATCACAGATTTTCTTAATTTAACTGCTTTAAACTGCTTTAAACAACTTAAAGTTATGTGACAATGCATATTTCTATAAAATGATGGCTACAAGCAGTCAACACAGGTTAACATTTTTGAGGTTTCTTCCTTGTAGAAAAAGTTCTGCTAGTGGCAGAAGTGGTAGATATCTTCGTATGCCTATCAATTCAGAAAATGTTTAGGCTTACTTTGAAATAATTTGCATGAAGAATGATCGCTTCTTTTCTATTGTAACAACCCAATAAAGAGTGATAGAAATATTTCAGAGTTGTTCTCTTAATGCTTAAAGGTAGAATTTGTTGCTCGTTTCTGCTTTGGGTAGCAACTATGCTAAGTACACCAGCACATATACCACAAATTTTGGTATTGGTCAAATGTTGACTTTGGATCATGAGTTTGCGTTGGGAGAGTGTGTTAACTATTTTGTCAGTGGTAAGCTGTATAGTTATGATATTTAATTATTGAATTGTTAAATTGGTTTAAACTAAATAATAACAATACACTTGCAAAACATTAGGGACTTAATCCTGTGAGTTCAAAATAAAGGTGTCTCAGTGTACCTTAAGTTTATACAGCTGCAGTGATCATTTTCTCCCTGTGTGTAATAGGTCTTGTATCTGTAAGTGGTTTTTGTAAGGCAGATTTTCTCATTCCTGTGGGGCATTTGTAAAATGTGTACTGAATTGTTGGTGTATTTAAGAAATATGCTTGTATACTATTTTTGACTGTTTCTCTAAAATATGTTACAAAGACTGTATGAAGAATTTGCAGTGTAGAGAATACATATTAGTATATAACTAATGTCAAGGTTAGTTGTTACCCACTCCCCTTGGATGAGCTTGTTCTTGACTAACATATTTAGCAGTTCCCGTTTTGCCCCACTCCCCTTACTGCTTTCCTTCTAGAAGGAATCACATGCCCAGAAAGAAATTCTTTAAGAATGAGAGTACTTGTTTGTCCCTCCATACCTTTTCCACTTCATACACACAGGTATCAGATGTTAACCTCTTCTGAGGCAGCAGGGGAAGAAGGTGATGTGATGATGATTTGTTTTTGTGTTCTGCTGTTTTCAGCAGAATGTTAGTGGACGATGGCAATGTGCAATTGAAAAGATTCAGTGGGAGAATTTCATCTTGAATCTCCAAGTTTTGGCAATTGTCAGCTCTTTCATATTGTCTTATTGTATTTTTTTTGTTTTTTAATTTTTAGTAAAAAATTGAATTCGACCCAAGATTCAGAGGTTGCAGTGACTAAGAAGTTTAAAAGCTTTGGTTCAAGATTGCAGGAGACTGAATGAAAAGTTAAAGACATGTTGCTGTATTACCTTCCAAGCTGAAGATTCTAAATAGCTGAGAAGTTGAATTAATGACACAGAAACTGAAATCCAATTTAAGAAATGTCAGGTTGGTAGGGGTTCCTGAATTAGTGTATAGCTGTTTTAATCAACTTTGAGTTTGTATTCAAGGAAATTTGTGTCAAAACATTGAACATAAAATTCTAATTTATCTTGGAGATTTGATGATTTGAGTTGAAGACCAGATGTTTGGACTTTTAAATGTTTTAGTCTTTTTAGACACAACGTGGAACAGCAAGAGCCTCTGTTATGTCTGAGTATATGGAAGTAAAGACTATCTTAAACTGGCTTGATTAGCTAGGATCAAACTGTGGCCTATAACTGCCTTGAGTTGAAATGTAAAGAAGAGCTATAGAAACAGATGCTTATTGTCTAGAAAAGTCAATTCATAGATCAGGTTTCGTGTTACATTTGAACTGGATCTATGAATTGACTTTTCTAGACAATGAGTGAAAGAACCAGGTGTTTTCAAATGGTTTAGCATTTATCAGATGCCTTGTCTTTTTAGGAAAGATGGAAGGAAGGATCACTGCTTGTATATATGTATATTATATTATGTAGTGATGTGTTTTAATGCTGCTAAATGTTTATACTGTTTTATATATGCTGTATATTTTGACAGGCATCGAATTTGTGCCTTTGTTTGTAAGCCGCCCTGAGTCCCCCCTAGGGGGTGAGAAGGGCGGGGTATAAGTAACTGCAATAATAATAATAATAATTCTGATAGGCTGACTTTTGAGCTTCTTTTCTAATTCTGCGTCAATTTCTGTACTTGGATTAAAAAGGCACATCATGGGCTGTAGTTTTCCGACTTCTAGAAGGCAAAGATATTCATTACTAGAATCATTAGGTATCCATTTGATGAAAAGAGGAACATGTTTTTGAAAAAAAATGTGAGAGTAACCAACTGGTTGTGCTAGAAAATCACCTAAATCCACCAGAGAAAAGAATATGACCTGTCCTTACTTTCAACCATCTTTTCAGCAGGGATTAATTGAGAGGTACCAGAGCTCAGGTCAACTAAAGTACAGACAGTCCTGGGTTACAGACAAGTTCTGTAGGTTCGTTCTTGAATTGCATTTGTTTGTAGGGCAGAACAGGTCTAGCAAAAAGTGTACTTTTTGTAAAAAACAAAAATACACATTTTTGTTTTTTGCCTCTAGAACATGGCCATATAGCCCGAAAAAACCCACAAGAACTGAGAAAAATACACATTATAGTTCCTGTGTGATTAGAATCCCTTTTTAAAAAACATCAAAGCTTCCAAGCAATTGAAAGGAAAACCAGAGAAATAGGAAGAACAGCGTAAAGGGGTATGAAGAGATTGATAGGAAGAAATGGGGAAAGGAGTTTGGAGAGATCAATAGGAAGAAAAGGGGAAAGGGTTTTGGAGAGATATTGATAGGACGAAAAAGAAAAGGGATAGTGGTGGAGGGATACAGACATGCTTTGGCTTAGCACTAACTTTCATGGCAGGGAGGGAGGGAAGAGGCCCATTTGTAACTGCATTGTTCATAAGTCAGATGTTTATAACTCAGGGGCTGCCTTATTTTTCCCAGGGCCCCTAGTTTTGGAAAGGAATGAAAAAGTGACCTCAGATTCTTTCTAAGAGCTATTGGTATGCTTTTGCTATGTTTTCCCCACGTATCTTGTTTAGGTCCAGGATAGATTTTTTGTCCTAACAGGATGTGACTCGGGATATTTGAGGCTAGTGGCAAATGTATTTTTATTTGAGTGGACACCTGGAAAGTGACCCTCCAAGATGGTTAGCGGGCTAATGTGATTCCTGATGATTGCCTGCCCATATTTAAATCTAACTCATTTCCTCTGACTTACAGGCCCATTTCCCAGTGTGATACCAAATTTCATTCGTATGTTGATAAGGGGTTTGCAAGTTATTCATTCATTACTGCTGCCATTGGTGAACTTCATTAGTGGCAGAGACTCTGGATTAGTGTTCTGGGAAATATTGTGCTCCTTGTCCTCATCTGGGAATGGCAATTGGGAAAAAAGAGGAAAAAAAGAAAGTGAGGATGGGGAGGGGAGGGAAAAAGTGAACATGTAGGGGAAGATTGGAGAAAGAAAAGAAGAAAATCCTGAAGGTAGCTAACAGGAAAAAGGAATTTGAATTAGAATAATAAAAGAAAGAAAACAAAGTTTGGACAGAAATATTAATCCTTTCAATGTAAGAAGCAATTATTGTAGGCAAATTCAGGAAGAAAACATCCCTGGAAGTTTAAGAATGGGCTAAGATTCAGCAATATGCAGTGAATTAGTATAATTGGGATTTGCAGTTTTGTTAATATCTTCCAAAAAAAAAAACAGGCTAACTAAAGGGCAGGTGAGTCCTATGAAACATAATAGCCCATGAACATTATTCCCTCATAATATTACATTATTCCCTTCCAGCTTATCCCCAACTGAAACCCAGTCTAGCTATTAAACTTATGCCTAGATCCATTTTAGCCATTTTCCTTTGGCTTGTTTGGCTTCTCCGGATGGCCATAACTACAAGGGCTCAGCCACCATGTTTTTTTCACCCGAAAGAAGCCCACATGGCTGCCAGGTGCGGCTTCCCTTCTATTCAGGAGTATGTGGCACATGCTTCCTTAACCGTGGTCCTCAAACCCAGGCTCCCTTGAAAAGAAGAAAGAAAAGGAGCCCAGGAAAGATGGTTCCTTAACCCTGTTCCTGAAACCCAGACCCCCCTGAAAGGAAGAAGGGGAAGGGTCCCAGGAAGGATGCTTCCTTAATCCTATTCCACAAATTCAGATTCCCTTGAAAGGAAGAAGGGAAAGGGTGCTTCCTTAACCCCTTTCCTCAAACCCAGACTCCCTTGAAAGGAAGAAAGAAAAGGAGCCCATGAAGGATGCTTCCTTAATCCCCTTCCTCAAACCCAGGCCCCCTTGAAAGAAAGAAAGGAAAGGATCTCAGGAAAGGAAAGGGGGGGAGTCTTGTAAGTTCCCCATTCCACCAATGGGCTGGATCTTCCTGGATCTTTTGGCAGCCTAGTCAAAACCAGATTTTTTTCTCTATTAGCCGATTTTCAGGAGGCTCTTGAAAACAGATCTGGGTACCCAACGACATTTGGAAACCAAAAACGAATAGCCCTCCAGCCGAATTGCAAAAGCCTACTAGCTATATGATTGGTGTTAAGTTAGTAGGAATCCATTAAACCACTGTCTGACTTTTTATCCAGCTCTAGGGATGAAAGATTGGGTAGGATTCCTCGGAGGAAGGAGACTGGTTGTGTGTTGAGATGTTGAAGTTTCAATGGTGTGTGTTAAAAAAAAGGTTTCATTTTTCAAACTGGGTTTCAAGGTAGCTATGGGTTTGAAAATGTTGAAGATCTCTGTATGCTCATACTGGCTTTGAGATGGGTGTTGTCTGACCAGGAAAGGAAACTTCTTGGTTTTAAAGAAAACTGCTAGTGTCTAAACCGCAGGAAGTCAAGATGTAAATTAAAAGTGTATCTATAGATATGATTATATTTATTGCTTAGGCCCATTGGTTAATAAATCTGTCTTTCCATTTTGATTTCTGAGCTCTGCCTATTCCTGATCAGTCGATGTGTAGGAACAAAAATTGTACTTTCTTTCATAAGTTCTCAGTGTTTTGACAATGTTAGCCCAGAGTTTGTGGTTATGCTGCAATTCTGCGATGGATTCTATTGGAGAAATCTTTGTGGGACTTCTCATTTTCAGTACACTGTAGTAATTGTGAACTCTCAGATGTAATGATATATGGAAGCCATGTAATTGGCGATTTCTTTTGAGTTTGAGGATTTGTGGGCAGGGGAATTATGACTTTGGTTTAAGCAAACAGTTAATCAGCATTTTCAAAGAGGATGGAGCACCCAAATCCCAGAGCTATTGTGCTTTTCCTCTACCTTCAGTCCCCTACTTCCATCTCCTTCTCAGTCAAGAACATTGACAAGTGTGTCATGTGCTGCTGTCTGAATTTTAGGAAGGTTTGAATATAGAGGGGAGAAAAGCCTGGTCGCAGCCCCTTTTCTCTGTTTACAGCAAAAATAATAGGATCATGTAAAGAGTCCTTTATTCCATACCTGAAGTCCCTTTCATTGCCACTGTGGTTATCAGTAGAAAAAAAATTCAGAGTCAGATCCAGTACTCAGCCTGCAGTGAAGTCTGTGGCTTGGCAATGATAAAACAAGAGACAGTGGATTTTGCATCCTGTACAATTTTCCAGACTTAGCATAATTTAAGAAACCCAGAAGCATAGGTTTCTCAACTAGAAGTATCCTCCATCATCCACTTAAATCTTGTTGGAAAGAGTGAGATTCCTTAGCACCTTATTCAGTTGGAGATAATTTAGAAGTACGTGGGAAAAATAATCATGAGGTATTATGTTTCAGAGGATTTATCTGTCCTTTAGTTAGCATGTTTTCTTTGGAAAGTATTAAATTACATAAATTCAGAGGCACCGTTTTAAAAAAAAGGAAAAGAGAAACCAAGATCTTTAAGAATTTTCATTATTTTTTAAAAAAATCTTGATGTTTGTGATCACAGATATATTATGATTTGCGTTTGTGTTTTATTTCTGATGTACAGCAGAATATGAATTTACAACAAACAATTGCATATGACATCAATATAATTTATTTGCAACATTTTAGTTCTTAACTAGATTTTGAAATCATGTTAAGAAGGAGATTAAGAAATCATTTTTCGAATTACTCTGGGGTAATTAAATCCAGAGTTGCATGTTCACAATCCATTGAAGTAAATATTTATTTTATGTAAAAATAAAATTGGTACATTTAAAGGATATAGGACTGAGCACATATTGCAATGGGAAATCAGTGTTCTTTTGTATTGTAAAATAATGAGCACCTGTCCCCTTCCCAGACTCACAGGAAAATTGAAATACTTTAAATCTTCCCTCCAGGTATATCAATTCAGAATGAGCTCCTTTTCCTACTCCTGCTACTAATATTCCATGATTATCTACCATTTTCTTTCTCTTGAGTTACTTATTATTACTACACTTCAAACTTATTTCTTTTAGAGTTGCTTTTGTGTACATATGTGCGGTTTCTTTAATAAGGCCTTCACATTTATTTATTTATTAAAATATGTATATGCTGTTCTGTATCACAGGATCTCAAGGGGTGGGGTGGTGTATACACGTAAAATCAATTTAAACAAGTCAAAGCAATTTAAAAAGTTAAAACAATCAAATTATACGTTAGACAGACTAAAATCACATTATACAATTTGCCACAGAGTAGGACTTTGGAGACCAGGATTTAAATCTGCATGGGCAAAGGTAACATACTGGGTGACCTTGGACCAGTCACATTCTCTCAGCCTCCAAGGAAGGCAAAGGCAAACCCCCTCTGAACAAATCTTTATGACAAGCACACATAATGACATGGATATTATTGAAACCAACATTGATGAGAACTGCAGTTGACCTTGTTTCTTGTTCTATGAATCTATCTAAAAATTGCAAACTCACTTTGTTAGTTATATGTAAATTAAACTGTGAATATAGTTTTCTGCCTGATATTTTACTTGTCCCAGGCCTTCAGCTTAATGGCCTTTTATAAATGTTACTATGGAGAGAAATATCCTCATGTGATACATCCTTTTCTTGATCCAGAGTTCAGAGTAAGGCCAGGGCAAGACCTTGTACAGTCTGTTTTCTTAATAAGACATCTTGGCATAAATTGACTACTTTTCTTTTGCTTCTACCAACCATCCCATTACTGTTTCTTTATCATTACGTCTAGTAGCATTGTCTCTACCAGCCTAGAAGAATTATTGTATCTGCATTACACCACTTTAACATGGAATTTAGCATGTGTGTATAAAACAGTATCCTTTTTTGTTTTAGGCATTCGACCACCAATCATGAATGGGCCTATGCACCCACGCCCTTTGGTCGCACTGTTGGATGGCAGAGATTGTACAGTAGAAATGCCAATCCTGAAAGATGTAGCCACAGTGGCATTTTGTGATGCACAATCCACACAGGAAATTCATGAAAAGGTAATTTTGAAAGTTTCTTTAAACATTTATTTATTCATAGAAGAACACAAGAATTATCACGATTGGAATTTTTATGTATTTTAATCATTTTCTTGGGGTATATGTTTTAATGTCAATTATGTTATTAGCATAATTGTGCTTTATTTGATTATTTTATTCTTGTTTTTCATTTTGATGTTCACTCTTTTTGTTGTAAGTTCTTGTTATTATTTTGTATTATTCTGATGTGTTTGGATTTATTGTAGGGCATGGAATGTTTGCCTTTTTTGTGTGTAAACCATCCCAAGTCCCCTTGGGGAGGTAGGGCGGTCTATTAATAAATAATAATAATAATAATAATAATTATTATTATTATTATTATTATTATTATTATTAGTACTAGTAGTAGTAGTAGTAGTAAGTATTGTTTTCTTACTAATGCATTAGAACACTGTGGGTCCTCCACTTTCCAATATCTGGAGAAATACTCCAGCTGGCAAGCCTTTCTGCTTTCTTAAATGTCCAAGTCAGAAAAAAGGAACCACAAAAGAATAATAATAATAATAATAATAATAATAATAATAATAATAATAATAATCTTTATTTATACCCCGTCACCATCTCCCCAAAGGGGACTCGGGGTGGCTAACGTGAGGCCAGATCCAAAAATTACAACAAAATAAAATATAGGTACGACAAAATAAAATGCAAAGAAGCAAAATATCATCAAAATAGATACATGACATAAAGAAATAAACACTTCCAAAATGACATAAAAATGGGATGAAATGAAACACAGCGGGCGGGCCAAATGTACTAGCAATAAAATTGGTAAATAGGTAAAACCCTGGATGATATAGGGAGAATGTGTTTCTGAGGGGGGAACTCAAGAGGGCCAAACAATGGGGTTGAACCTTCCTTAGGGGCAGGGGGAAAAATGCATCCTGAGGACAGAGCTATAATTGGGACAGACCAAAGTGGAAAATATATTCATTTGCCAAAGAATGAAAGCTCTGATGTGCAGCATCATTGCTCCTTGTACAGCTGCAGGACCAAGCCTCGTCTGTATTCGGAGCCCACAAATGGCTCTTTTCTCGGCTGATGATCCCTTTCTGTCTGGAAAGACAGCTGTTGGGGGGCCCAGCAGCCTTCCTCTACAGCCTGGTTCTTTGTGGCTGCTCCAGCTGGTTGCAACAAAAGCTGAAGAAGTGTAGGCAGCCTGGGTGAATGAAGATTCCAGATTGGTTTAAGAGAATGAAACCAGGAATTCTGGTTGGCTTTGTGTAAATCTTGCCATTAGGTTAGGGATCCTCAAACTTTTTAAACAGAAGGCTAATTTATGGTCCCTCAGACTGTTGGAGGGTGGACTATAGTTTGAAAAAAAAACAGGAAAAAATTCCTATGCACACTGAAAGATCCATGAAAGAACAATGCTCTATTTAAAATGAAGAAAAAATTTCACCAACATAAATTTACCCATATTTCAATGGGAAGTGTGCGCCTGTTTTTGGCTGATGAGGTAGTCAAGTTCATTAGGATTGTTGTTGTTGTTGTTGTTGTTGTTGTTGTTGTGTGTCTTCAAGTTGATTCAGACTTAGGGCAGCCCTAAGTCTAAAGTTTAGGGCATGGGCCAGGTGAATGACCTTGGAGGATTGCATCTGACATGAGGGTCTTAGTTTAGGGACCCCTATGTGCCTTTCTTAAAAACAAAACATTACAACAGAAGTATTGTAGAAAAATTGAGATAACACTAATGAACTATTTTGGACAGTTGGTATGTGGTATGTAAATGCAAAATATTTCCCCTTTAGAACAACACAACCGTAGTTAGACACATAGTCCTAGGTGAAGAATTTGCAAGGAAGTTTCAGGGTTCTACCATAATGGCAATGACTTGAAAGGGGATAGTCCATTCTAACTTGTCTCCCATTCAGATCAAACTACCTTGACTCCATTCTACATCCACATTTGGAAAGCATAAACTGGTCCTCATCTGTAGTATATTTGTCAGTCTGATGTATGATTTCGTCCTCGTTGAAGAAATTAGTGTAATTTCTGTGAACTGATAATGGCTGACCTTTTTAGAGAAATGTCAAATTTATTTCCTGTATTAAGTGGAAGTGTGCTTCAGGGGTTGTTGACAGTTTTGCACGGCATCACTCTCTTTACTTTGCCACTTGTCAGAAGTTTTCCAGTCCAATACAGGTGACTGACCTTTCAATTGATTGTTGTTGGAATTCAACTGAAGACTTACTTCGCTTAAATATATACCCAGTTTTTATCATTTAGTAGACTGGAAGATATTGTAGATAAATAATGAAAATTGTGCCAAAGAATTCAGAATTTGTGTAGTAATGTTGACAATGGCAGACATTGTCAACATGTCAACAATGTCATGTCGACATTGACATTGTCGACAATGGTTATTTTCTTCTCTGGTTTATTCATTCCAAGGAAGCAGAAGATTTGGGGTGGCTCAGGGTGTTAAAGTTAGAAGAAGAGAGGCCATTAAAAAGGAAAGTGAGTGTCATATTTTGAGAAGGTCCTTGAAATGCTAATAGATGTCTGTATGAATTTTCTGGATAACATTTATGCCTCTTTGTCCTTTACCAACTAAGGATGGGGCTTCTTTAGTCGTGTTGTGTTAATTCAGAAATTGATCAAGCTGCATCTGAATCCATATAAGACAGAGGTGATGATGCTAATGCAGTCCTCTTGATCTCAATCTATTTGCCTGCCCTATAGCAGGCATCACATGGTTCCCTGTGATCTTCATAGTTTAGTGATTACCCAGTCATCTTCTTCTTGTTGGCACTGTGTGTGAGAATATTTTCTAGTCCTTTATGACCCAATAATGTGAGGGTTTTTTTTTTACTCCAGAGGTACACTTGCATTAGGAAGGCCAATTGTTCTAATATTGTGAATCCCTATTTTATAAGGTGCCAAGCATGCAGATGTGCTTATTTATCTGGAACTCGCCCCTACTCAGCCAGCACCTGCAAGCAGCAGTTGAGAGTACTGGGCTGGATGGTCCTCTTACTTCTGTATGCTATAAATCAGGGGTTCTCAAACTATGATGTAGATAACTCTGCTTTAGAGGTATGAAGCATGAACTTAACATTGATAGACAGAAAGATATCATTGAAGGCACATGCACCATTCTTGTGTGGTTATTATGTGTTATAAACAAATGTTATTCAGCAAAATAAATAGTATTAAGATTTTCCCCTGTTACCCTAATATGTAATGTAATAGATATTCATAGGTAAGGCTATTGTACCAGGTTGCACCAGCAGCCTTCTTTTGCCAAAAAGAGGTGAGAGTCTATGTGAGTCCCTCCGGGGAGATATAAAAATAAAGATTATTATTATTATTATTATTATTATTATTATTATTATTATTATTATTATTTGAAATATAACAAGATGAGTCCACAGCAGACAAGATCACTCTGCTGGCTGTTATATTGGATCCCACTTTGGACACTTCCCAAGTGTCTAGGACTGTGCGATGTATTGGCGAACAATGTGTGCAGATCTGAGTAGGGTGGCCTTTTGCAGCTGACAAATAATACTTTTTGTCTGCACCCAGTATGCCGATCTCCACTGGGACCACCTTTACTGGCTTGTGCCAGAGTCTGCAGTACGATCTTTACATTATATTATTATTGTTGTTATTGAGATTGTTGTTGTTATCGGGTAGTGCCACATGTGAATAGAGACATTTGATAAACTGGTAGCACTCTCACCAAGGTATAAGGAGTCTTTCTCCTGGAGGAACTGCATGACTGCCTCCTGCAGAGTAGCCAAAGCCACCCTTTCTCAAGGAGGCATCAACGAATGCCTCAATCTGACTTTTCAGCCCCCTTCTTCCTCATTGACAGAAGCTGTGGATGAATAGCGAAGAAGCGAAGGTTGAACAAACAAATAATATATTGGGTTTCTCCATCGCCTTGGCCACCTTATCTTTAATAATGCTCAGATTGTATGTCTGAGTTTATTAGAGAATAAGAACAAAATAAGAGACTCATTCCATGAATGAGGATAAGCATAAAATACATTGCAATGAAAGCAAAATATTGATTAGTGATGGCAGATCAAAAAAATTGTGTGATATCACCATCAGAAATGGAATACAAAACAAAATACAAAAAAGGTAGGAGATGAAATTGACAAGAAACTGACCATATGATGGAGGAAGAGAAACCTCACTTTTCCAGATGCTCAAGAGAGATGGTATCTGTGAAGAACTGGAGACTGTTGTAGAAGTGTTTGTCTGAAGCTAAAATTCTGTTCAAAGATTGTCTTCTCTTTCTTCTTTTCTGATCCATCCTATTCTTGACATAGCCTGGTTTCCACACAAGATGGTATGATGTGGAGGTTCCACATATACCAGCTCTTCTTATATCTGTGTGTGTGTGTGTGTGTGTGTGTGTGAGAGAGAGAGAGAGACTCTTACCTCTCTATCCTTTGTGCAGTAGAACAGGGTGGGTGTGTTGTCTTAACTGAAGGAAGAGAAAATGGCACATGTGTGACATGCTGCTGAGAATGTAGTCTTCCCTATGGAAGAATCATTTGCTGCCGCCCATTGCATCATCCAGTAGTTGACCAGCTGCCTGTATTTGGTGTTTTTTGGGTACTCTAAAAAGCACTGACCAAGTACTTCACAATGGAGTTGAAATGACTGATCTAAAATCAAAGAAGCAGTTGGATTAGCAGTAGGCAGTTAGATCAACAGGAAGACCTGTTTTTTCCTGAAAATCAAACAGACAGCTGTCACTTCTGATTAATAATGGAGGATGAAAGCAAGAGTAAATAAGACAAGAGCCAGCATTTCAAACAAACAGGTTGAAGCATGGTTAGATTTGCAGTAGGCTGAAAGCTTCTTTTCATCCTACTTGTTCTGACACTTGGGAGTCTATGAGTTGGGCAGCCTGATCCTCCGAATGTGACTGTTACAGAGGTGGATTTGTATATCACAGTCTGGGCAGCTGGCAAGCTACTGTTGTTGGTAATGAAATCAAGCAGCATGCCAGTGAGATGCCTGAGTGCATATTGATAACAGTGAATTGCTTAACAATGTCCTTTGACATTGTAGATTACCATTACCACAACAATGGTTCTTCTAGTTCAGGCCTGCACAAACTGCCACCTGGTGAGGAATTCTGAGAACCAAAGTCCAAAACATCTGTAGAGTCGCAGATTGTGCAGACCTGTTTTACTTTGGAAGTGTATGCTGTTTCTTCTCTCTCCTTGAAAGTTGGTGGGAGTGGAAAAGACTTCGGGAGAGCCAGCAAAACAGGCTATGCACACAGCTCCCGTTAGAAGCAAGTGTAATCAGGTTGTAATTTCCTATACATTCCGTAGCATCTGTACCTTGAAATATGTTCCTGTCTTCCTTCTGACTTGGCAGATGGACAAACTATCATAGGTGGCAGAGCTCACACCACTGAGACATGCCATCTAAATTGGCTACATTTTATTGGATGGATAGGGTTTTATATAACACACAATCTTCTTCCTTTTCCTCAGATCCCTGCCACTGATAGCACTTTTGCTCTTATTTTGCTCCTAAGCAAGCCTAAGCAGTATGTCTTTATTTTATGGGGAAAGTAGATGAATCATGTTGGTTTTGTTTTCTAGGTACTGAATGAAGCAGTGGGTGCTCTGATGTATCACACCATCACTTTAACTCGTGAAGATCTGGAGAAGTTTAAAGCACTTCGAATAATTGTTCGAATTGGAAGCGGCTTTGATAACATTGATATTAAATCTGCTGGTGATTTAGGTATTGTATCTATATTTGAAACTATGAAACGACAATGTTTCCCTTTTATTCCGCATAGCATAGTAACCAAATATTTTAAAGTATATAGTGAATGTACATATTTGGTAGCCAAGACTTTGTATTAAAATTTACGTATTGCATCAATTTATCATGTAAGACATCTTTCATATCTAGATGTTAATTCACTTGCTAGTTCTTGCCAAAGTAGATTCATTGAATCATGAGGATTTACATGAGTTGGGTTCAAGGGTTCTGCTCTAGGAATTGGATTTAGATCTTAATGCTGAATTCTTACCTAATTCTTGTGTATCTTGTGTATCTTATGTATCTTATTATTGCCATGAGCATAGCACACTTCAGAGGTTGGAATGTTATTTCTGAAACAAAACTTAAACCTTTTTTCAAAAAAAATGTTAGTTATAAATTGTTACAAGCACAGCGGGCCTCCAAACCCATGAGAAATTAGTTCTGTAACTCCTTGTGGATGGCAGAAAAACATGGATAGTCAGCCCCATACTATTAATTGAACATGTGTGTGCCTGTGTGCATGTCACTGCCATTTTAGGGATGGATCATGATAATCCATGGTTGATTGAAACCATGGATCAGGAGCCTGAAGATTAGAATGGTCCAGTGTACACATTAAAGAATAACATTCCTTTTGTTGTTACATTATACACATTCACTGTGCTGCAGGTAATATGATTACTAGCACATAAAATCCAAACTCCTGTCAGGGATTCCTTAAAAGTTTATTATGTTCCTACTGCTGCCCTACAAACAAAGATTGTGTCTGCTCAGATTTCATTCTTTGGCAGATAAAAGAGAGGAATTTACTCTCTCGACAGCTCTGTTTCTCCCTGCTCCAACGTTTCTTCCTGTACCGAATCATTTTATTGATATTGCTGTTTTGATTGGGCATTTAGGGCCATTTATGCAGGTTCAAGAAGCAAAATTAAATTAGTTACACATATACAAGGTGCTTGGACATTTATTTTACTGAAATGTCTATACCACAAATAATAAAGCTCCTATATCCAAAATGTGATCTCACTCAGCTGTGCACATCTTTAAAAAAATCTGGCTTTTATTATTTGTCTGGGTAGATGGGCTATTTCAGAGAGGAAAAAAACTACAGATATTAGCGTTTGCTATCACAAATCATAAAATGTATCTCTACTATCTTATATTAAGTTTCAGAAAGTAGTACAAAATGTTTTTGTTTGCTTAAAACAATACTTTTCCAACTATAACTGACTACCTTTGGCTTTCTTGGCCACTTTGGTCTGAACCTTTTACTTAAGGTATGATAAAATCTCACTAGCTGTGCTTTATTGCTGAAGGGATTGCAGTGTGTAATGTTCCAGCTGCCTCAGTGGAAGAGACAGCAGATTCTACGATGTGCCACATCTTGAACCTCTACAGAAGAACCACCTGGCTTCATCAGGCCTTGCGAGAAGGAACAAGAGTGCAGAGCGTGGAACAGATCCGGGAAGTTGCTTCTGGAGCTGCAAGAATTAGAGGAGAGACCCTGGGCATTATTGGGTTAGGTATGCCAATGTAAAAATAAGTGCTAGATGTTGTTTCTGTTGTTGCTAGAACTGAATTAGGGATACTATAGATTGCCATGCTGTCTGCTCTTTGCATGGAAAATTACTTTTACATCAAGTATACAGGATTGTGTTTTCTTCATAAATATAAATAATTATAAAAACAAGAAGAAACGTGCTTCATAGTAGTTGACTTTGCAGTGTCTACAATTATTCCGCTGTTTGTCCTTGAAGAATTTCCAAGCTGGGAAACACTGTATGCCTCTTCAGTGGTCTCAGTTTAGATTTAACATCATTCTGGTTTAACATTATATAAATGATACTTGGACCTGGCAGCTCCCTCTCCTCTTGTGGCACGGCCATAAAAAGATCAGAAATTTTTCTTCAATTTTCAGCAAATTTCAGTTAGTCCTGGAGTCGGATTGAACAATCTTACCAATAACCCTGCAGTCATAAGCTGAGCTGTGAATAATTCCTATGGGCATGCATCCTTTGTAGTTAGTGCAAAGAAACTAGCAATTCCCCAGTTGACCAATGTTGACCAGGAAATAATCATTAATAGCTTTGGGACAAGTCAGGATGCTAATTTAATTGGAGTGATACAGTTGTATTCTGTCATGTTCTGACATCCTTTGCCATAGTTTCCGGGTTCATACAGAATGGGAGATTTCCTACTTTATTTGCTCAATCAATAAAAGGATTTGTGAATGGGTGTTATGCAGAAAGTTTTGTCCATTGCTTGGCTTGTTAAAGTGAAGTGTGATTATGTTGAAACCCAGATTAACTGTGATATCTAATTGTGGAATGTTTTTCTAAACTCTTATTTAAAATTTGCCACTATATATGTGAGCTCTATGAGTGATTGCTTTACACCTGTCTGACAACAGTTTTCTAAAACATATTTTCGTCTTCAGGTCGTGTTGGGCAAGCAGTTGCACTACGTGCAAAGGCTTTTGGTTTCAATGTCATTTTCTATGACCCATACCTCTCAGATGGCATTGAACGTGCACTTGGACTTCAGCGGGTGAACACTTTGCAAGATCTGCTCTTTCACAGTGATTGTGTCACTCTCCATTGCAGCCTAAATGAACACAATCATCATCTTATTAATGACTTCACCATTAAACAGGTAAATATGCATCAGATGAAATTATGAGGTCAGTTTTGTTAATCTATAGCAGCAAAACGAACACAGTCCTTTGAAACTTTAAAACTAGCACACTTAATGTGATCCTAAGGTTTGTGCATTTCAGGCCTTTTTATCCTGTACTTGGGCTGCTGTCCACAGATGCTCATGCCACATAAAACCTGTTTGACAGCTTGTGGAAATATTCTTTATTCTATTGCAGTAGATAATGATGAGCATAATTTTTGTAACAATTCTAGTATTTTATATGCTTTATGAAAATCATTATAGAAATTGTTAAAATTGCTCTGCAAGGTAGGGCAATATTTTTAACCTCATATTACAAAGTTATGGTTATCATTATCTCTTCTGTAGATATGGTTATACTTACATTGTCTTGTTTCTTTTGACTCATAGATTTTGTCTGGTGAAAAGAAATAATATATCATGTCATTCTGTTTTATAACATCGGTCTTTATTTACTTAGGTGTTTAAAGCTGTAAACCGGCACTGTGAGAAAACCTCTGCACATCATAATTCATAGACTAGGTGTGTAATGAGTGACTAGTGCCCCCTCGTGTTCAGTTTTTCTCTCCAGTGAACATATTTGGAAGACTATTTGTCAAAGATAGTGGAAGGAAACACATTTAGGTTTGAAATCTTTGCACATTGTCAGGACACATAGCTTTATGTATGTTTTCTTTAACTCAGATAATTGGGAGAACTCTGTTAGCAATGAAAAGTCTGTGTTCCAATGCATCACACTAGAGAAAAAAAATCTGCTTAAAATCCGGTTTCTGTCTCCTGTTTAGAGAGGAGCCTTTAACAGCCTCACTAAACTACAAACCCAAGAATTCTGCAGGAAGCTGAAACCGGATTTTAAGTGGATTTTTCTCTAGTGTGGATGAAGTGATTGATCTGGAAGTGAAGAACAGCACAAGAGACAATACTATTGTATATTCAGTGACTCCTCTGAGGTCTGATTATCAGACTGTGCATATGCATCTGATGAAACTAGCTCTGGCCCTTTGAAACTGATTTGTACCAGAGTTTTTCAAAGCGCTCATCTCTGGCCTGCTCCTGTGTAGGATATTTTTCTCCAAAAGTAACTCTGCATTACTTATTAAGGATCGCAAATGTGTGCCTAATCTCATTATTTGTTCCACTAGTCCCCAAAGTAATTTGTACAATTCCTCATTTTGTCCTTGTTATGTCAACTAGAAACTCAATGAGACACATTTTAATGTTATAGTCTGGATGTTTGTGGAATAATTTTAATTTATGGGATTTCCATATCCAAGCTGTGCTTTCAAGATATTTATTTATATTTATTTGTTTACAATATGTCAACCCCCACCCTTCTCAACCCCCCACCCCTCCCCGGGGGAGAGGGGGCTATTGGTCAAAAGAAAAACAAAGTTATGTTGATCCATTTTCTGACAAATGTTTAAAGCCTGAACAGTTCTAGATGAAAATAAATACAAATCAAGGCTGTTGTTGAAAGTTACAGGTCACTGTATCCTGGAAAGTGTTCTGTTTACTGAAGGAAATTGTAATAGAAAGATTTCTGATAAAATATTAATATGTTACCAATTTTTTCTTAAGTTTGCACTTTATACTTCGTACAACTTCAATTGTATATGTTCTCTTTATAATATGTTAAGTTAAGCAAACATAAATGAGCAAGTAACTATTTTTAACACTTTTTGTGAGCTTGGCTTTTAGAACCTGCAGAAAAGTGGGATGGGGCTTGTTTTTATGCTTAGAGATACCAAAGTAATACATTGTCTCAAAATATATTGTATATATCATAGATAAGGTCATTTAATAATTAATCCTTGGTTTTCCTCAGTTTTAATAGAGACTTAGAGCCACTTTAACTAGATGGACATTTGTAAAACTATTTTTGTAAAGATTTCCCCCCAGAATTGCCTAAATCTTCAGTATGAAAATGCAAAATATGCTGTCTCTTCTGCTTTTTAGCTTTGTTCACTTAGTTCTGGGTTTGCAAACCTTTTTGACCAAGGACCACTCTCCAACATTAGTATCAAATGGGTTACAAACCAGTTTTTGGCCAACTTTAGATTCAATGTGGTTATTTGGGTGCTGATTCAGAAAATTGCATTTGATAGACCACATCAGCTCTAGTTTCTGATACAGAGCATATGCCATCCAGTAGCCTGCTTTCCCACAGAAAGCCATATTTAATAATCTAGAGCAGCGTTTCTCAACTTGGGGGTTGGCACCCCTGGGGGGGGGTTGCGAGGTGACGTCAGAGGGGTCGCCAAAGACCATCAGAAAACACAGTATTTTCTGTTAGTCATGGGGGTTCTCTGTGGTAAGTTTGGCCCAATTCTATTGTTGGTAGTTTTCAGAATGCTCTTTGATTGTAGGGAACTATAAATCACAGCAACTACAACTCCCAAATGTTAAGGTCTATTTTCCCCAAACTCCGCCAGTGTTCACAATTGGACATATTGAGCATTCATGCCAAGTTTGGTCCAGATCCATCATTGTTTAGTCCACAGTGCTTTCTGGAGGTAGGTGAACTACAACTCCAAAACTCAAGGTCAATGCCCACCACACTCCTCCAGTATTTTCTGTTGGTCATGGGAGTCCTGTGTGCCAAGTTTGGTTCAATTCCATCGTTGGTGGAGTTCAGATGCTCTTTGATTGTGGGTGAATTATAAATCCCAGCAACTACAACTCTCAAATAACAAAATCGATCCCCCTGCCCCACAAGTATTCAGTTTTGGGCGTATTGGGTATTGTGCCAAATTTGGTCCAGTGAATGAAAATACATAATGCATACCAGATACTTACATTACGATTCATAACAATAGCAAAGTTATTTTTTGATTGGGGGCCACCACAATATGAGGAACTGTGTTAAGGGGTTGCAGTATTAGGAAGGTTGAAAACCACTGATCTAAAGGAACAAGCCTAAAAACGAAGACACCAAGAATTTTTTTTTGGTTGAGTTGTGTTATTATCTGTGGATTTTGTTAATGCTCTGCACTATAAGAGGGTTTCGCGAGATCAGTCACTCGTTGCAATGGTGTAGGTATGGCGAGGCCACAGACAATATTTTAGTTCTTGCAGACCACTGGTGGTCCATGGACCACAGGTTGGGAACCACTGACTTAGTTGAAGGTCCATTTTTATTAGTTTGACAAATATTTAGACCTGTAAAGCCTCAGTAGTGAGAAACCTATTTGCAAAATACTTCTTGATTGTATTTTTCCAGGATATGTGACAGGGCAATAGTCCATTTTCTGTTGATTTAATTAATCATACGTGTTTCCTTTCAGCATAGATGTCTGTCATAATGATTCCACACACACACCCTCAACACGTGTTAAATTGCATTTCGTCATTTTAACTTTCTGCAGATGAGACAAGGGGCCTTCCTTGTTAACACAGCTCGAGGAGGACTAGTAGATGAAAAAGCACTTGCACAAGCCCTGAAGGAAGGCAGGATACGAGGGGCAGCCTTGGATGTACATGAGTCAGAACCATTCAGGTGACCATTAGTTGTGGCTTTTTATATACTTCTGTACCAGTACATAGAGTTAACAAAGAAATTTTTGTTTATTTGTATCATTTATTTGGTCCTTTAAAAAAAATGAGTATTCCAAGTGCCTCCTGCAATTGCTGAGCAGTCCTTACTCGAAACAATACGCTTCTGTAGAGCTCTGGATTTGCCAGAATAAACATTAGCCTAGAGAAGAAAATGAAATATGCCTTCCATTATTTTTTATATAAAAAGAATAAATTAGGTCCAGATATAGATCATCAGTAACCAGACCTTTGTATAGCTTTGTATTCACTGGCTTCACTGAACAAAGAAGTCAGTTTGTCCAGTTTCTTGTGTGACTTTTTGGTTTTTTTTAATATTAGAAATTTCTCCATGGCTTAGCAGCATGCCCAATTAATTCCTGCTTTCAGCTAGTAGGAAATTACCTGTTCCCAACCCCCACAAAAATCTCGAGACAATAGGCACATTTCCTCACAGAATATGCACAGGTTATTTGCATAGCATGACTTCCATCTACCTTTTCTTGCTATGAAATTGCTGTGATACAGGCAGTGCATTTTGATGAATGCGCTAAGATACTTGGAGTATGTTTTGATGATATGCGTGGGACCCAACAGGATCTTTCAGTGAAATTTATTCAGACAATAGGAATAAATTTTTCATGGATGTAGTCACTGGAGACATTGTGAAGAAGAGATCCTTCAGAGATCTCTGATCCTTTTTCATTGCCCTCAAGATTACACCATGAAATCTTTTTATTAAGCCCACTCATCCCAGTATAAGCCTTTGTTTTATCTCTGTGTAAAAAGACCTATTGGAGGAATTGGGAGCCAAGATCCTCTTCAGGCTGGGTATGATATAAAAAGCTTAGAGTATTGAACTGTGGGCATTACTATGTAGTATCTTGTATTACATTAAAATTGGCAACTTAACTGTTTATATTTGTGACATATATAGATATGGCCCTCCATATAGAAAACTCAGAAAACATCTAGAGCAGACATGGGCTAACTTCAGCCCTCCAGGTGTTTTGGACTTTAATTCCCACAATTCCTAACAAGCTGGCTGGGATTTCTGGGAGTTGAAGTCCAAAAAACCTGAATGGCTTTCCATGCTTGATCTAGAGCTAGAGCCTTGTCTTTGAAATCCTCTTTGTCTGAACTTTTTAGTTAAGGAAGTATTGTTTAGCTTGTTGTATTGCTGTTTGTGGTATCAAAACATAACATGGGAGTTACTATAGGTTTTAAGTTTTTTCAGTTAGCAGAACATGGGCAAAACCAAATGAAAGATGTTAACTTTTGTTTGTTTTCAATATTTTTAATTAACAATTTTAACAATTAAAAATACACAAAAAGGGTACATAGACATTGACATACTTAGACAATGATTTCCTAACAAACATATCACTATCTAAAACTCTAAAACTACCAACATATAAACATAATTAGTTTTAAAGGTGAATTTCCGGGTTTTTTTTTGTCTGTTTCTCTATACATTTAACATTTTCTTCCACTTTATATCCAGCAAATAGTTTACTTCTGTTTGTTTTAACATTTACAAGTGGATATTCCTACACTTTATGTCTCCATACTTGTACATATTTGCCTCTTCCCTCAGATATATATTGATAAAATAGTTTCCATTCTTTTAAAAATGTGTCCAGTGACTTATCCTTCAATAAGATTGTTAATTTGTTCCTTTCTATTAATTCCCACATCATCACTGTCCAGGCTTCCATAGTTGGTGTTTCTGTCATTTTCCACTTTTGAGCATATATGATTCTTGCCACTGTTAACATGTACAGTTAACATCATCTCATGTTTCTTTTTTATATGATCACCCAATAGCACTAGAACTACAAGCTCTGGCTTGAAGTTGATTCTTGTTTTAAGGATATATTGATTACCCCATGGTTTTGTCTCCAGCTTTTTTTTTTGGCCTTTTTACATGTTCCCTTAAAAAGTTTTTGATAATAAATTTTAGAMCCCCCCCCCCCCCAATTTTATACTGTAGCCAAAATTCTGTGCCTGTTTAGCCATTGTTTTTAATTACTTCTTCCATTTTCAAGAAAAATTCATATATTTTACCAATTAAATGGTCACCATTGGGACATAATTGTAACTCAAAGTCACTTTTGTTTTGTGCAAAGACAAATAATTGTAAATGTGTTTTGTATCTTTTCTGTAATTGTCTGCACTGGTACCAGTTCATATTCCAATCCCCTGATGATTAATTTTCATTGTAGCTGTTAATTTGTCATACATGCAAAGAATCCTTTGTGCAAGAAGACCTAAATGCCATATTTGTTTTTCCCTTTGTAGTTTTAGCCAGGGTCCTTTGAAGGATGCACCAAATCTGATCTGTACTCCACATGCTGCTTGGTACAGTGAACAAGCCTCGATAGAGATGCGAGAGGAAGCTGCACGGGAGATTCGGAGAGCCATCACAGGTGCAAGCAATATCTGCCCTCTGAATTTTTTCTTTTTTTTCCCTTCAGTTTAAAGAACATATGAGCTTACAGTGTCTTCCATTTCTAAAACATCCATAGTACAAAGAGCACTAAATCAATTTATAATGGCACTTACTAAAAGGCATCACTACTGTTTCTCACTTTGAAAAGAAGGATGGAAAGTGAATTTAGGGCTCCTGAGTCCAAGGCTCTAAATCAGGCATGAACAAACTTTGTCTGTTAGGAATTGTTGGTGTTGAAGCCCAAAACACCTGGAAGGCCAAAATTTGCCCATGCCTGTTCTAAATAATGGGCGTCTTAATCAGCATTAAGTTAGCTTTCAAAGCCCTCTGGCTTCTTCATCAGGTACATTGTAAAAAAACAAGCAAATGCTTTGCTTGTTGTTTTTTTTACAATGTACCAGATGAAGAAGCTAGAGGGCTTTGAAAACTGGCTTAATGCTGATTCTTTGCACCTTCTGTTTGGCCTGGTAGGCATATTAACAATGTTCAATATGAATTTTCAGATTTGTTTTACAGTCACCATACGATCACTGAAACATTAGAGCAGGGATGTCAGACTCATCAAGTGCTACATTAGCCTTATGATTGCTTTCAAACGGTCGTTGAATCCATAGGTGGAGAATCCGTAGATACAGAGGGCCAATTATAACTTTTTTACATAGTGATCAGTGCCCTTTGGTTTTTACCAAATTTGGGTCCTCAGATTTTATTGAACGATAACTCCCACCACTTTTGATTATTGGCCATGCAGACTCGTAATAGTAAGAATTTCAACCCAACAGCACTTCTGGCTCTGAGGTTGGGGAGGGTTTTAAAGGACATTTTAAAGCCAGACTTCATATCCACAAGCCTTGTATCTAAATTCAAACCCCTCTATCCTGACTAACCAGAACAAACTGCAGCTTTCCAGATTTACGGCATCACATTTCCCATCAACTGTAGTCATGATGTCTAACGATGAGGACTACAGGAGTTGTACTCCAGCATCTGGAGGGCCGCATTCAGTCACCTGGATTTGGCCCGTGGGTTTTGAGTTTGACACATGTGCATTAGGGCCTCAACTGTGACCAGAAAGAATTGACTTATGCTGTAATGTTTTCCTGATTACTAGGCCGGATTCCAGACAGCCTGAAAAATTGTGTTAACAAAGAACACTTGACTGCAGCTACACATTGGGCCAGCATGGATCCAGGAGTTGTTCATCCAGAGCTTAATGGTGGTGCCTACAGGTAAGAATGTAGGAGGGTGAGCTTTGGTCCCCTTACATATAACCAGGCTGTTCTCTAAACAGTACCAAAGTGGCAGTAATTCTTTTACTTTCATCTAAATACTGACAGTTTGTACTGAGAGCTAGTTTCAGTATGCTTTGATTCACATAGTGAATGCCCAGAGGGCTAATACAACATCTTCTCTTTGTCCCTCAGCAGGTATCCCCCTGGGGTTGTAAGTGTGGCGCCACCGGGCATCCCTGCAGCCGTCGAAGGAATCGTCCCCAATGCCATGTCCTTATCGCATGGGCTCCCACCCGTCGCACATCCTCCCCATGCTCCGTCTCCTGGCCAAACAGTCAAACCAGAAGCTGATAGAGACCACCCAAGTGACCAATTGTAGCCTAAGAGAACATCATTCCCAATGTTGGCAGTTACCACTTTGGAAGCCAGTGTGTGGAAAATCATTTGGACTTTGAATAGATGCAAAACCACAAACGGATGGAGGAGGCCATATATGTTTTAGAAACTGGTCCAGTATGCAGTATAAAGCAAAACAGCGTGGAGAGATGGAAAGAAGATTCAAAAACTTTTATTCCTCCATATAAAATGTAGTTTGTCCCTGTCCAGTGACCTGATTCACTGTTTTGTGTCCTATTGGGTTCTTTGTTAAGCCAGAGAAGTTAGTAGTTAATTATATAATGAATGTACTTGTCTGTGTACAGTTTTTAGAACATTAACAAGGGTTTGTTTGCTTAGTGGTCAACAAGAAAAAAAAACAACCATAAGGGAGGCATTCGACAAACCAATTTTGAGATTTGAGATCCTTTGTTTTTTATATGTTTAAAAATGCCTAAAAATGAGGCAGTTGGTGAACTTCTCAGGACAACGATTTTATCCCATTTTTCTTTCTATGCCACGCAGTGCATTGTTTTTTCTACCTTCTTGTCTTATTTTTTTAGAATAATTTAATAAAATAAAAACAGTTTTTTTTCTTAATTTTGGCACAAATTTCCCTTATTTCAGAATGAAGACATTTCAAAGAGATTTTGAGGAGGAAATAAAGGTTTTGTATAAACAAGCATCATGCATTAAAGTATATATTATTGGTGGGATGCAGCGAAAGAAAGAGAGACTGAAAGAGGCACTAGACTACTGAAAAGTAGCAGCATTTCATTGCCTACATGGATTCTTTCCTGGTAATGTGGTAGGCTAGCAATATTTTGGGTTAAAATCATGTTTGTGACTGTATCCATTTGTATGAATTATTTTAAAGAAATAAAAATTCCAAACCAATATTACACATGACTTTTCTGTGTAGTAACCATTCAGTTTTTATATTGGAAACCATAGATTGTCCATGTTTATTCTGTACTCTGTTAATCTTAGAAGAAAAAAATGTATTATTTTCCCAATATAGACTTGACAGATGGTCATAATCTATTTTTAACTTGTCTGCCTGTATGTTTTCTTCCTGTACACACATTTAACAGTTTCGAACCTGAAAATATTTCAGCTTTGTTTCTGAAAGAACAGCCAGTTTTAGAACAGTTTTTACAGACCTGTCAGGAGGTTTGTATAGATATGCTACAATAATAGCAATAGATATCTTCTTACAGATTTTGTAGAATAATTTGACCAAAATAAATTGACTAATTTAGAACATAGTCTTAACCTCCTGGCATGAGATGGGGAAACTATCACACTGACCTCATTAATTTTACAAATTGAACCATCTGTTTTACAGACCTACTGCATGCTCAAATGGTGCATTTGAAGATTTAGGTAGAATGCTTGGTAATTATTACTGGAGAATGTCAATATACTGTTCTTTCTGTTTCCACCTTTATGTCATACAGCCTCTGAAACAAATTTGAAGAGCTACATTATTGATTAAAGACTTCTTCCTGCCAAACTGTTCTGTTAGGAGTATCTAACTTAATGGCATAAACCTTCAATTTTTTCTTGTCCATATATGTTTGTTGCCTTGAGATAAGAAAATAACCACTATTAGGACTTGGAGAATTGGGTTTAAATTACAGGAATTGAGATTCCACCTGAACATTGAGAAGAATTTTCTGACTGCAAGAGCTGTTCAGCAGTGGAAGTTCCTTCTTTGGAGGCTTTTAAACAAAGTCTGGATGGCCATCTGACAGGGAGCTTTGAATGTGATTTTCCTGAATAGGAGGAAGTTGCACTACATGACTCATATGGTCTCTTCCAAATCTATGATGCTTATTTATTTATTTATTGTGTCAGAGCAACCAGTCCATTATATTACATTTCTAACAGAACAAAGCAAACAAACAGAAAAATACAAAACTTGTGAGTTTGGTAGTTGGTTAAATGTCCTTTGACCAGTATCTGGCCACTTGGAGTGCTTCCGTGTTGCTGCAAGAAGGTCCTCCATTGTGCATGTGGCAGGGCTCAGGTTGCATTGCAGCAGGTGGTCAGTGGTTTGCTCTCCACACTCGCATGTCGAGGATTCCACTTTGTAGCCCCATTTCTGAAAGTTGGCTCTGCATCTTATGGTGCCAGAGCACAGTCTATTCAGTGCCTTCCAAGTCGCCCAGTCTTCTGTGTGCCCAGGAGGGAGTCTCTCCTTTGGTATCAGCCATTGGTTGAGGTGCTGGGTTTGAGCCTGCCACTTTTGGACTCTCGCTTGCTGAGGTGTTCCAGCAAGTGTCTCTGTAGATCTTAGAAAACTATTTCTAGATTTAAGTCGTTGACGTGCTGGCTGATACCCAAACAGGGGATGAGCTGGAGATGTCTCTGCCTTGGTCCTTTCACTATTGGCTGCTACTTCCCGGCGGATGTTAGGTGGTGCAATACCGGCTAAGCAGTGTAATTTCTCCAGTGGTGTAGGGCGCAGACACCCCGTGATAATGCGGCATGTCTCATTAAGAGCCACATCCACTGTTTTAGTGTGGTGAGATGTGTTCCACACTGGGCATGCATACTCAGCAGCAGAGTAGCATAGCGCAAGGGCAGATGTCTTCACTGTGTCTGGTTGTGATCCCCAGGTTGTGCCAGTCAGCTTTTGTATGATATTGTTTCTAGCACCCACTTTTTGCTTGATATTCAGGCAGTGCTTCTTGTAGGTCAGAGCACGGTCCAGAGTGACTCCCAGGTATTTGGGTGTGCAATGCTCCAATCGTCTGCTGTTTTCAATCAAATTAAACTGTGTTTCCTCAGATGTATATAGTTATTATTATTTAAAAAAACAATAAAATAATGGTTGGGCCAGAGTATGAATCTGGCTTCTATCCATGACAACGAGCCACCAAGATCTTTGGGAGGCTTACATGTAAGGAATAAAGGCAATAGTTCTTCCTGCTGTTTGTTCCCAGGATATGATACATTGACCCACAATTTATTTATTTTTTTCTTGTCAGAAGCGACTTGAGAAACTGCAAGATGTTCCTGGGGTGAGAGAATTGGCTGTGTGTAGGGATGTTGCCCAGGGGACACCCAGATGTTTTAGCATCCTGTGGGAGGCTTCTCTCATGTCCCCGCATGGGAAGCTGGAGCTGACAGAGGGAGTTTATTTGCGCTATTCCCGAATTCGAACCACCGACATGTCGGTCTTCAGTCCTGCCGGCACAAGGACTGAATACAAACCGCTGACCTTCAGGTCAGCAGTTCAGCCAGTACAAGGGGTTAACCCATTGCGCCACTGCGTCTCCATTGAGCCACAATGATTACAAGCCATTGCTGAGATTTTCCTCCATAATTTTACCAGATTTCCTTTAGAGCTACCCAGGCTTGCCTGAGGGTCATTATCACCTCTTAGTTCCTTTTGCTGGTGCTGCAGCCAGTTTCAGGAAAGTCACATCTTGTGACAATGAAATCCATCAGCTATCCATATACTGTATGAAGAAGTCTTTCATTTTGTCTTTCCTGGCAGATCCCAGGAGATCACTGCAGGAGAGAGAGAAATTCTCCCTGTGCTTTCTCCAGACCATGCCCATTTTTGTTAAATGAGTGCTTATTTTCCTGTGCAACCACATCCCATCCCTATCACTGTAACCTATTTTGGAGTGTGAGTTCCTCCAGCCCTTTTGCCATTCTTGTCCTGGCTTCTCTTTATTTGACAGTTCTGTTATTTCCTTATTTGAGATACAGCTGCCCAAGCAAATGTCTTGGCACTGAATGTTCAGGAGCATGCCAATCCCTTTCATAATAATGCCTAGCACGGACTTCATCTTTTCAGACATTTAAATTTTAAAATACTGCACAGGCTTTTATGGCATTTAAAATGTCCATGTTATCAGTAAAGTGGTGGTCATGACAAGATAAGTCCATGTTGGGTCTTCTTTGTGGAGAGAAAAAGCAGGGTATAAATAAACATAATAAACATCATTTTCATAATCCACATGCCTGAGGGACTTTTAAGCCACCATTTTGTGAATTTTTTTGACACGGGATGGAAACTAAGATTCAGAAAGCTGAAAGGTATTATCACAATCTTTATTTTCTATTTTACGTAACCCTATTATTTCCCCAAATGTGGGAACTAAAGGTAATTGATCAGTTAAAATAATCACAATATAATTAAAAAATGCAGAAAGGTAACATTAAAGCACAGTTAAGTTATTAACCATGTTGAAATAATTTAAAACAGGCACGTACAATTTAAATGTACAGTTAAAAACAATGCAGCTTTCAGTTGCAAAAGCCTGTCTAAAAAGATTGTGAAGAGTTGCTTGCTGGAAAGACAGCAAGGAAAGGACTGCTCTAGCCTCACTAATGATGTAGTTCTCGGCAGCCAGTGAGAAAGTCTCTCATATTCCTGTCAACCAAATCTGAACGTGGACTACAGGTACATATCGGGAGACATGGTCTCTTAATGGCTTGTGTGCCAGTTATATCGTGACTTCAACAGCGCTTTGAATTGTGCCTCCCTGGTAACAGGTAATAAATTGTTTGGAAGCTTTTTCACTTGTGAGGAGGCCTCCAATATTTTTTTCTTCTTGTGAAGGAGAATAGTTCTTCATGGTCTCTGTTGATCACACAACTGGGTATTCTGTGACTGCTCAGAGCACTGTTCGAAACCTAGGAAGAATAGACTATACAAGGCCCAGTTGCCACCAAAACCCCTCCATTCCTTTCGTCCATGCTGCAGCCAGTTTCAGGAGCCTTCGCTATTGGAGCTCATTAGTTCTTCGGACCTTTCTTGTTTCCAAAAAGTAAACTTCTGTGTTCTTCATGGAAGAGTCTCTGATCAATCTTGGAAGTCCCTCAAAGCAGAAGAGGCTAGACAGAAGAAGGCCAAAACATCGTCTTAGAAAGACGAATCCCAAGCATCTCATAGCAAACGGCCAGTTTTAACAGCTGAGCTAGCAAGGGCTCAGAGGGAAAACCTTGATATGTTTATCAGCCTTGCCTCTAGAAGGAACGCCTGAGACCTCTGAGCCACACTTTGAGAATGAAGAGCTTGAGTCTCTTGTAGAGGTCACTGAGGTGCCCCTACATCTCCAACTGACTATGGGAACAAACTTGTCATGGCTTTGTCCCCGTCTCACCAAAGGTCATGTGCTGCCTTTGTGGACCACCCTGTTGGGACTAAAGCTTCTCCCCTGGTACAGCGGAAAAACAGACTCACATTGTCCCCGGGAACGACTCACCCTTGCCATAGTGATCACACCCACTCCATTGCTGCCTACAGTTCACATCATGACCCCTGTGTTCGGAGATTGTCTCTCAAAATTCCTCCCTGCCTGGTCTGTCATCACCTGAAATCGCTGGGTGCTCATCATACTTGAATTCATCAATATAATCAGCTTCAATTCTTCACACCAAATAGGAACGATCCTCCGAACTCCGCCATCCCCTCCAGAGTCTGAGGAGATCAGAACGCTCCTACAGAAAGGGGTCATAGCACACACACACACCCCCACACACATACAAAATAGACTTCCAATGGGCCTCTTTCTCCTGCTACTTCACTGTTCCAAAGAGGGACAGAGACCTCAGTCCAATCCTAGACCTGTGATTTATGAACATCTTCAGAAAGACAAAGTGGTTTTGAATAGGGTTGGTAATATCCATACTACTACTTTAAAACGGTGATTGGTTTGCAACCTTGGACGTGAAAGACATTTATTTCCATGTTGGAATGCATCCAATCTACCAGAGGTTTCTCTACCGAAGGTTTCTGGCCTTTTGTGTTGGAAATTGCACGTACCAATTCCGGGACTTGCCTTTTGGTCTGTCCACCACATCAAGGGTGTTCACAAAGGTGATGGCAGAGGTAGCTGCGTATCTCAGAACCGTCAATGTCACGGTACCTCGACAACTG